TCTGACGGAGCCTCAGGGCTGGTGACTGTGTGTTGTGGTTCTCCTGGTGCTGGAGCTATAATCACATTGCATATCTGTGTCTCCAGGCTTCAAATGCTTCCCTTAACTTCCCCAACTCCTTCTCTCCCTCCCCCCCTCCGACAGGTGACTTACCCCCCCCCCCCCCATGAGTCCATCATCCGCACTCCGTGATCCTCCGCATGAATACCCTCTCAGCACATTGTCACCGTGCCCCAAATGGGATTCCTCTAAATGCATATAGCCCCCCCACACTTACCCGCAGTGACGCCGCGACTGCTCTGTCCCATGGGACTCAGCCTGGTCAGGGCCCATGGCTCCCCACTCGTTGGCAGCCGTTCGTCACACCAGTCACCAAAGCCCGCGAGGTCTTGGTCGTTCAATCTTGTGTTGTTCGTGTCAGGTGGGGGGGGGGGTGGCAGTGTTGGTGGTGGACCAAATTTTATAGCCTGAGCTAAAATGATCATGGGGCTGAGGGCAGTAGTGTCATTACCAGGAAGGTGTGGGGGGTAAGGAAGGACCGTGCAGCCTTAGGCTCTGCTGCTGTGGAAATCTGACTGGGGTTGTGAGGTCAGAACCTGGGGGCCCAGACCAACTGCGACCTTTGGGAGGGGGAGAAGTTAAACAGGAGAGCTGGAATGGACCCCACGTGGAGCTGCCCCCCCCAAGCAGTGAATCAACCACTCAGGAGCGGCGGTTAAGAACACAGACGACATGCCTGAAAAGCTGCTGGCTCCGTCCTTCATTTAGGCTACAGCGCTGGCGAAGAACGCCACCCCCCCCCTTGATTTATGATCGATGGTCTCACCGAGTATATGAAATGCGAATCATGGAAGAGATTCTGAGGCCGACGCCAAATGTATTTTTTTTTCCCCCCCCGCTTTGTGATTTATGGTGTCGCCCAAAACGTGGAATTGAGTGTATGAGTGTGTGGTATTCAGGTGATTTAGAGGCTGAATCGCAGACCGAGCACAGGGAGAATCTCACGTTCGATATATGACGTTCCCAACCCAAGCGGCACAGATACTACTTTAAAAAACACGAGGTCACTGGATCTATAGTCAAATGTCAAGAAAACAGGCTGGAGAAGGCCAGACAGTCCTTATCATATAAATACATTAAAATAAGCAATATAACAGGGACAAGGAGAGATTCCAGGATTTGTCTAAGGCACAAAAAAAGAACCCCCCCCCCCATAGTAAAGTTTCCCCAATGGGGGGTACAGAATGTGCAGGGTTGGAGTGAGATTTTCAATTAAGTCTGCACACCAATGCACACGCATTTACATGTATGTAATAGGTTTGTTACCTTGTAAATAGTCAGTAGGGTTTTCAAACTACCCAAATGCGTTTGTTGTAGCTAATTTTAGGTTTATAATGGAATAATATAATGGGTAACAGATGCGTGAGAGTGGCAGCCCTGAATGTATACAGAAACGGGACAAAGGGCTAAATGGCTTTAGAATGTTTTTTTTATGGGGGCTGAAGAACAATCGGGGGTCTGAAGGGCCCCCAAAAGGGGTCTAGCAGGTTGTCCTACAGATGACAGCAGTTGTGCTTTTTAGGGTGGGGGGGTGGGTGGGGCGGTGGATATGTGGGAGTGTGGTTCCTCTTCCGGTTTTCCAGCCTTGTCTGTGTCGGGCTCTCAGAGAGTTGACATCTCTAAATTGCCTGCAGTTTGCAGGCTGTGTTCGTGTGCCCCGTGATGGATTACCACCAGTATCCGGGTGGCTCTGGTCTCCTGCCTGTGCTCCAGACTCACTGTGACCCCGTACTGGATGAGCGCTTATTGATGACGTACGTAATTAACGCTCTACTGCGCTATGCTCTGCAGTGAAATGTGGTGTCCGACTCCATGGTGAAGCACTGCAGTGTTTCTGCATTTAGCTCTAATATCCGCTGCTCTTGCCCCCGCAGACACACTCACCTTAACGTCTGATAAATTTGGGATCCCCTAAATGCTGCAGATTCGACACGATCGAGGGAACGCCGGTGCACGCGGTGCCGCTTAACGCGAGCCCTCATCTTATGCGTTACCCTGTGCAACATTAAGAGGAGCGTGTCACATTCACTAATTTCGGGCACTGCTAATGCACGGTTTAATTACTGCAAATTAACAGCTTGTAATTTTATTAAAAACAGGTAATTTGGGGTCAAGTGAATAATAACCCACGCTTTACGACTGAAGCCCACCTCTCCACAGCAGAATACATTGTATACTGCATACATTTATGCAACTTATCTTCCCTGATTTTGCATGTAATAGATAGTTGTTGGCTTGAAATTCGCCTCCATCTTTCTGTGTGGAGTTTGCATCTGACAGGTGGTTGTGGATTTGGATCCCACCTTCACCTTTCTGTGTGTCATTTTCAGGTAACAAGTGGTTGTGGTTTTGAATCCCATCCCCTTTTATGTGAGGTTTGCATGTAATGGATGGTCAGGGGTTTGAATCCCACCCTTATTTTTCTGTGTTGAGTTTGCATGTAACGGGTGGTTGTGGGTTTGAATCCCGCTTCTGTCGTTCTCTGTGGAGTTTGCATGGTATTCCTGATTGTACACCCTGCCATAGACTAGCATACAGTTCAGAGTGTCTCTCGCTATATGCCATGTACATCCTGAGATAGGTTCTAGGCCCCCAGTGCTACATTGTGTCACAGATTACGGAAGATGAATTATGGAGAGGCCTCTTACCTGATATTTCCTGTGTACTACATAGCATGTGGCACACTTTCCTCAGTATGTTTAGGGTTCTTCGGTTGAACCCATATAGGTTTTGCATGGGGGTGTGATGAAAGCTTAGAGCCAACGCGTATGCAGGGTCTCATTAGAGCTTGCTGGGCCTTTGTTCCTGAAGGGCGTGTAGCGCCCTGCTTGTATAACATCGAGATGAAGAACGTTCCGACAGAGCCGCAAGCAGGAGGGAATCGAGAAGTATTGCAGAGTCCCCCCCCCCCCCCCCTCAGCCACAAAGCCGGTCCTTCTTCGTATCCTCTCCTTAGATCGTTACTGCGGTAACGAGGCGGCTGGCATCATTAAAAGGCATCATTACGGCCCATCGTTATTAAGCCGGTCGTTCGAGCACCGTGGCCTTTGCCAGCCGATCCCATCAAAGGCCGACAGCCCCTCAGACGCACCGTGTGGGTCGCGCCGTCACCCTGGCAACCCTGGACATCCCAGGCTGCGCACGGGATGAAGGACAGCACCAAAGTTGGCCTCACGCTGCCAAAGACCCTGCCTCGTTACCATGACAGTGTTTCCTCACGGGGATTGCATTAGCACAGCATCCGGCAATGATAGCAGTGGGATGGGGGGTTTGAGGGGGGGTCAGGCGCTGAAAAAGAGGTCAAGATTTTTTGCTAGACACCCCAGTTGCTGTGTTTGCCTCTAGATCTATGGCTTCCTCTGAATCGTCTCCAAGACTGCGGATCATGACGCCTTGGCGCACGCGTCGAATCACGGGAGAAAAAGATCTCCTTGGGCTGTGACCAATTTTAAATTATAAAACAAAAATATGTATAAAAATTCTTCCGAGTGTTTTGCTTCCATCCATCAAACGTAGTCTTCGGCTGTGAATTTGAAATGTCACACTGTGCTAAATCCAGTTTAAGACCCGTTGAACCACCCAGCAGATTTTAATCATGAGGGAAATCTGACAGGCACTTTTTTGCCTGTTTATTTAGGCACGTAGATTGTTAAGCTTCAGACTGTTATAGAGCTAGAATTAGTAGATTTGTTGTACCCTTCTGGGCTTAATGGGCATATGGATCTAGGTCATAGCTGTATAGTGTACTGGATAAGTCTGGTGTTACATTGAATCTGTTTGTTGAAATTCAAGGTGACGTTCTCTGAATATCAGTTACCGTTTTTTTGTAATTGCGTCTAAGCTGCATAAATGAAATGAGCTCAGTGTTACGTGTATAGAAGGCCTGTTACATGCAATAGCAAATCTGCTGTATATGTGAAGGTTCCGGGTAATACCCACCCTTTTTGGCTATGTTTTTACCGTGTTTCACATCCTGTCATGTTTCCTGCAAGCCAGACAGCTCCCCCGCCCAATCGGGCCCCCCCCCCCCCCTCCCCGCCTCCCTGACCTGAGCTGTAACAAAAAGGAGTGTTAATATTCCATGTCTGTTCTGGAGGAGGCCCAGCACAGCGCTGGGACAGCAGTGAAAAAATCTCTCCCCGTCGGGCGCCCTGCTTGAGAGCACATCGGATGAAAGTTCCAGACCCGATAATGCACCGAAATTGATTCCTCTTTGCCCGGTGATGCAGTGCAGAGATGGGACCCCTCCCCCTACCGCCTCCGCCCCATCAACCACCACACCTGATCCACCACCCACCCCCCCAACACCGGCTGTTGTGAGACGTGCAGCCACGCTGTCTACTGTCTCAACAGTATTGTGAAAAATATTTCTTTCCTTACGGATGGATTGGCAGGTTGGAGGGTTGCCAGATTGTACGAGGACAGTCTGCAGTATATTTTGTTTGCACCTAAGGAAGGCTTGTTTTTTAACGGTTGCCTTCTGGGAGAAAGTGCCGTCGGGATTAAAGTGAAATTCTGCGGCGCACCCCAGCCCGAAGCGCGAGCAGGCCTACTTTCAGATACGTGTTAGGTTAATGTCACGCAATCTCTTGGCTTAACGTCGCCTGATAAGAACAGGCAACCTTTGTTTGATGTCACAAATGTCAGCCTGTCTTGGTGTTTTTCTTTTACCATATGAAACTCCACAGGTCAAAATAAAGTTGTTGTTAGTTCAGAGCTGAATTCTGACATAAAGTTCAGGTGGGTGTGTACCTCTGTTGTATGTTGGGCCAGCGTGGGCTAAACTTATTTATATGTTTGTTTTAAATTTTGGGGTTTTTTTTGGGGGGGGGGGCGGATCTGTGTCCTGATTATAATGTGCATTCAGTGTTTTCACTGTCTTCTTGATTAAAACTTAAATGCGTGTCCCAGTCTCATGCCTTAATTTTTGTTTTGGGCAGCTGCACACGGACATGGACAGGGGTGACGGCCGAACCAAATACATTCTGCGGGGGGAGGGCGCGGGATCCGTGTTCGTGATCGACGAGAAGACCGGGAACATCCACGTCACCAAGCCACTGGACAGGGAGGAGAAGGATGAGTACCGGCTCATCGCCACGGCAACCGACCGCCAGACGGACCGCGCCCTAGAGCCCTCCTCCCAGTTCATCATCCGGGTGCAGGACATCAACGACAACCCGCCCGTCTTTCAGGATGGCCCCTACAGCGCCACCGTACCCGAGATGGCCAACATAGGTACTGCATGGGAAGAACATTAATGAGCCTAAACCTCATGTGGTCTCAGTTCTTGCAAATCTTTTTCGGCGCTTCCAGAGAAGCTCGTATATATTCATAAAATTATCAAAGCAAGAAAAATACATGTGCTGCATTAAATATGTGTATGTATTTAATGCTGTCGTCGACCTATTTAAATTCTTCAGATTTTACATTTGAGTCTATTTTCCCCCCACTTTCTGTCTGAGTTCTGTTCCATCTCTCCTCTTCCTTCCTTTGTCTGTGATGGATCAGTGCTAAGGGTCAGCTGTGGGCAGCAGTCTTCCTTACCCAGCCTGCTCCCTTGCTCTGTGACACTGTCAACGCTTTGATGTCAAAAACAGCAACAGCTGCTCCCACAATTCCCCTCTTCCCCGAGAGCTTGTCAGGCAGTGGCCCATGGGAAACGTAGTTCTTTTTTCTGACTCCATATCTCTTTTTTATCTGTGTTAATTTTTAAATAAAGCTGATAGTCTTTGATTCGTTCGAGGCACTGATAGCGCCTTCGAGAAGCGTTTTAGGACAGAGGGGAGTTATTAGAGAAGGAGAGCACAGTGGGAGGGAGCGCATGACAAATAGAGAAAGAATGAGAGAGAGAATATGGGGGATAATGAAATACACAGGCAGGCAGGGAGCGAGAGAGAAAAGGACAAATTATTTTTACATTGCAGTGAGAGAGATGAAGCGGATAGGAGCGAAATAGCAGGACCACAGGGAAGCCCTGGGCACCACGTGTATTTCTGAGCGGAGAAGTTGCCACGGGTTATTGCAGCGGTTTGGATCTCGCGCTTTGAACATGTAACCGGCCTGGCAAGCACCCGGGACCCACACTCCTCTGTTAACCTCGCCGGCGATCTCCTTTCAGCCGTGCGAACCGCTTAGCCCGTCCGCACTCTCTTGGGCCCGCAGAGCACTTTCGTGTCGATCATAAACTCTGTAAACCCAGCCTCCCGCACACCGGGGTTAATGCACTCCCATTTAGTGTTAATTTACTGCAGAGTTCAAACCCCTATTAACCTTCTCTCTCTCTCTGTCTCTCTCTCCCCGTCTCCACCAGGTACGTCCATAATCCAGGTTACCGCGACGGACGCAGACGACCCCACCTACGGAAACAGCGCCAAGCTGGTGTATACACTGACCCAGGGACAGCAGTATTTTTCTGTGGACCCCCAAACCGGTCAGTTTCAAATTCATCTCTCTGCAAGTTTCATTTCCCTCCCAGAGCCCCCCCCCCATTCCCGCCGTCCCCGGCACGTCGGTTTTTTAATCGCGGTTTCCGCCTCTCTCTTTTTCATCCCTGCCTCTCTGTCGCTCCCCATTTCATGCCTCGCTCCGGTAATTCGATCACGTCTGAGTCGCCGCGCAGGTCCGACACGGACACCCGTGTCCCTGCCACCCCCCTGGAGATGCACGCCATCGTAGCATGGAAGCCGCGCGCCGGTTACATTTCCCAGGAAACTGAACGTCTGCGCGAACACGATGTGGACGTGCCGCTGACAATGAATTACCTGTTAGGCTCAGCACCCCCTTCTGGCTGTGTGGTGTACGGTCACATGGGCTCTTTCTGCGAGGATGGCCATGTTCAGCTCCTCCAGCTGGTATCCGTGCTCTGTGGATAAATCCCAGTTTATCTCTGTGTGTATATTTCTGTATATTTTGGATAAAGGCGTCTGCTAAACACATAAAGGTCTAAAATCATCTCAGAGCTAATTCTCTGCAGGGGGGCTTTGTGGCTGTGATCAGAAGGTCGTTAGTTCAAATCCCAGGGTTGGCTGAGTAACTTCACCATTAGGGCCCTGAGCGAGGCCCTTAAACCCTAATTTCTCCAGGGACTGGCTGGTCCTTCCTTCCCTGAAATGTGCATCGCTTTGGATAAAACCTATTAAATAAAACAATATATATTTTAGGTAAAAGTGCATCTCAGCCGGACTCCACCAGATGTGCAGGATACTTCTTGTGTTCAGCAAAGTGTTAGCATAACTCTGCATGTGAGATTCCTAATGTATTTTTTCCCATTAAGAGAAGTCGGAGTCTGTGACCCCCATATTTCATATCCATATAATGTAATTAGTCAGCCACATTCTAATATTACTGTGGAGTATTAATATTAATAGGCTGTTCTGGTTGCTTTCTTTGCAAGTTAATTAATTGCCAGGTTAAACCCCTGTACTGAGCAACTCTGGGTATTGGGCTGGCTGTTTAATTTTCTAGCCGGGGACTGACTGCGTTGTCCTT